CGCCATAAAAACTGGCCTTGACTCTCGACGGGGCTCGCTCGCCCCCTCATCTGCCGTGGCTATCCCCTTGCCGGTTATCAACCGACGTCTTTTTCTTTCCGGCGTCTCCTCACTCTTAGAAGTCTCCTCCACAGCCCGAGGGGATGGTGTCGAAGGAGTCGCTCCCCTCGCGGACGCCGCCACAGGCAGCGGTTGAGGAATCTCCGCGGCACCATCACTGGGCGAGCCGCAGGGAATGTATCCATCTTCAGAATCAGTACCCGCCCCAGGTAAGATGACGACGCTCTTTTTCTTCTTCTTAGGGGCGCTCCGACCTGCCAACGCGAATAAGTCATAACAGATACGTAGGGAATCCCCAAATCGCAGCCAAAGAATTACCTGACGGGCCGTACTGCCGAAGAAATGCAGCCCAGGTACGGCACTCCTCCGCATAGGGTATTATTCTTTCCACCCACGATTTAATGTCATCAACAAGCTGGGGTGGAGAAGCCCTCGCTGCGAATAAAAAAGAGGAAAGAAAAACAAAGGTCACTATGACCGTATGGTCGAAGGTGCAAGCAGCACTAAAATCTACAAGTAGAAATACTTACGTTCTGGATTCCATCTTTCCGGGAACCCCTCGGGATTCGACACCAGGTGCTCCGTCCTGATGTAGAAATATTTACGCCAAAAGCGGGGGTTGGGCTTATCATCGGCTTTAACGACCAAGCCCTTCGCGCCACGACCTTTCAACTGCAGCATGGTACCCCCCAGGTAACCAGCGCTGAACAACTGTAAGAGGTGGTGGACCGAGACGCTGCACCCGGCCCTGGCCGCATAAGTGGTCATGATACGGCACACCTTCAAAGTATAGGGAGTGAGCTGGGCCGGACACACATTGTAAAAACGGCAAAGCTCCTCCACCAGAGGGTAGACTGGAAGGTCGTAACCGATCAAGATCTTTGGCCTTTTTATTATTCTGTCCGCATTTTGTCATGATTATGCTACTTAAGAAACGAAGCACTGACGATAGGAAGTGTGGTTTCAACAGAAGTGGGAGAGTCCCTCACGAAATAACGGTTACAAGAAAGGAAGGCAAAGGAGTATCAGAAAATACTTTTCAGCGGCTTGAAAGTGGAATCAGATCAAACCTCTCTCATACTTATAAGGATAAGTTGCACAGGAATCGAAGAGTCATGATTCAAAACCTGCGCCGGAAACCAAAACGTCACTTCATCCTCTGAACCGCCTCGGGGGCAAATATAATGATGATGCATACAGGCGATGACATCATCCCAAAAAGGAAGCCACGCGTCAGCGGCTCAACAACGTCATATGTTTCACTTCATTCATATTGCCGCCCCTGGTCGAGGTCAAATTCTCCTAAGCCGAGGTTCATATTTTCGCCCGTCGATGACGCCCACCGAACGCGTCTCCAACGAGCGGAGGGACTAACTGTATAGGGTCAAATTTGACCCTCAGTATCTCTACGCCAGCGGGTACGCCCAATGAGTGTACGCCGACCAACGTAGCAGGTACGACTCGGCCGTGAGGACAAAAGCGACATCGTTTAGAACTCAGCGTCCACGATAGGGAGACGTTACCTATTTTTGTAACTTTTTGATTCTTTCGAGGAAGGTCTCCTATTATATAAAGGAGACCTCCACATTGTAAAAGGGGGATCTGATCTAATACAATTCTCTCATCTTTCTGGCTTTCTCTCTCTATATATCTACCTCTAACGAAAATATCTTATTGGTAAACATTATCACTTTGCAATATCAGATCTACAACAATATTATCATCTTTGCATCTCTAGGCTTATTATATTTCATTACGATTTACCCCTTTTCTATTTTTGATTGTTTTATCGCTTACAAAGTATATCGTTAACTTTTGAGCCAAACAAAGAGAAGCTTAACAAAAGCTTCATTGTGAAGCAATTTCGTCCAAACTTAACAAATTAAGCAAAAGTTTCGTTCAACAATCATAGAACCAGAAACATTTTTGCTCCTAAAATTTCAAACCAAGGACGTTAGACATAGAATCATTTCGTCCAAATATTCAAGGTTTCGTTCAAATTCGGAAGCAGAAGCTTCACTTTGATCAAATAATTCAAGGAACAGGTATGTTAAGGCTATCTCTTCTTTCTTTTGGCATGATCCATACGATACGAACGAAACGTGCAAATGCACAAATTCCATGAATGACTCTATTCATAGAAGTATTAGAGATATCTATGTTCTTGAATTTTCGTGTGTCATAATATTTTATCTTCTGCTCATGGGTCTCAGAATAATACGCAGTTGAAAAAATTTATCCGGAAGGAATATTGAGATTATTACATACTTTTCATGCATTTCATACATGTGCATTGACCCATGACCAGATGGCGTTATATACGCGTATATACGTAAATATATGTATATGGGATATGGGAAAAGGTTACGGCTTTATATACGCACCACCACTTGATCAGCTGGTATATGTTAATGATGTTGCCCACAGTGGCTAAAATATGATTCAAACGGCGTTATATACGCGTATATATGTATGTATATATATATATGTATATGGGAATGGGAAAGGTTATGGCGTTATATACGCATCACCACCTGATCAACTGGTATACGATGATGATTTTGCCCACAGTGGCCGATATGATATGATGGGATGCCCTTCGAGGCTGATGATGTTATGAAACATGTACCTATGCATGACATGACATTCATACGCATATGCATGACGCTAAAAGTAATTTATGATTTACCAAGTTGTTCAGACTTACAGGTTGAGTCATGTACTCTATATTTCTTCCATGTCTCTTATGTACTTATTTATGTGCCTTACATACTCGGTACATTATTCGTACTGACGTCCCTTTTGCCTGGGGACGCTGCGTTTCATGTTCGCAGGTCCCGATACACAGGTCGAGAGCCCTCCAAGTAGGTTATCAGCTCAGCGGAAGATGTTGGTGCGCTCCATTTGCTTCGGAGTTGCTTGTTTGGTTAGTATAATTTAGACGTGTATTGTTTGGTATGGCGGGACTCTATCCCGACTTTTATGATTTATGTACTCTTAGAGGCTTGTAGACATATGTCGTATACGTGAAAGATTGTACGGCCTTGTCGGCCTATGTTTTGAGTTTATAAATGATTATGTTGGCCTATTAGGCCCTTATGTCACGTGTATATGACAATGTAATAAGAAAGATACGTTACGTTAGTACTCGGTCGAGTAAGGTACCGGGTGCCCGTCGTGGCCCATCGATTTGGATCGTGACGTATGCTACACATTATTCTAAGCTCAATAATTTTTATTTTCTGTCTATTAATATTCTTGTTGTTTTCTTCGGAAGCTTTGCTCCCGGAACCAAGATGTTTGCTGTCTTATCTCGGCTTCAATGCTAAGTCTCGAATTTTATTTAATTTATTTATCATTTTGGGATCAAATCGATTCGCTTGTTTATAAACCACGTTATAAATTCAACTGTACCGTTTAGCTACTTTCATTTCTTTTTGGGAAACACAAAACATTAAGGTCCGTTTGGCCATAAGAAATATTTTACTTTTTTCTCGGAATTAGTGTTTGTCCATGAAAATTTTAAATTTCAGTTGAAGTTGCATTTCAGAATTTGCGGAATTTTGTAAAATTTCAAAAAGCTACTTTTTAAAAATTTCACTTCAAATACTCACAAAAATTCAAAAATAACTCCAAATTGTATTTATGTCCTAACACATCTCAAATTTTCAAATGCCATTTTTACTCGATTTTTTTTCCCGGAATTTTACAATTGTTATGTTCAAACGCCCACTAGATAGTAGATACCATTGGTGGATTGCTTTAGGTGCGGTTGAAGAAGGGATAAGTTTGTTATACCTGCATAGACTCTACTAGGTCTCAACAGAATAACCTAACACCATCTCATGGAAAATTATAACTCAAATTCCATGGATAACTCCGTCTTTTTATGACGTATTATATTCCTATTAGCGTATAGACAAGGATCAGAACATAGTGCTCGATATGAATAAATTTAAAAAAGTGCGGTCCTTTTTATATTTTTGAGGATTTTATCACTGATTGGCAATCATGGGATACTAAAGAAATATAGTAGGAAACTGGCACCAAGACCGAAATTTCTGATGCTGATGATTTCATGGAAATTAAATAAGCCAATCATAAGGCAAAGATACAATAAGCGGGACCCGTTTTCCACACTTGTTGAGATTTTAGTAGAATCGTAAATCTCGCTTTCGTGCGTCAGCCAACGTGGATGCACGCTCCAGCTTTTATTTTTATCCCTGCCTCGTTTTTTTTTCTTTTCCAGACTCGTTTTATTCGGCAATGAAAAAGACGGAAATTGACTACTTTAGAAAAATAAGTTAGGCAGAATGGCCTAGTCGTCCGTAAATTTGCACCCTAAAGTCGGCCTAATTTTCTCTTTTATTTTAACACTTTTACTTGATTGGATGAATATTTCTTCCTACAATCTTGCACCCAATTTCTAGTCTAGGTGATAAGGTATACAAATAGATGCTTGTCTGGCTAGGTCGAGACAATTTTCAATTATATTGGTTCAATTATGTACGATAATATTAAATGTTAATTTGACATGCTCAATTTGACTTTCTAGTTTTTATTTCAAGTTGATTTATTTGAACCACCTTGAATTGAAGGGGCATGTTTAAGATTAAAAGAATTTTGTGTCTAAGCTAATTTTTTCTAGTTTTCCAGGAAGATCAAATCTTAACTAGCTAATGTATTGTAATATCGATCGGTCTTATTAAACTTGAGTAATAAGTATATTATAGAATATTTAAAAGTAGATCTACAATTTTAATTTGGTAGGTTAAAATTTCAATATATATATATTGGTAATTAAATATTTCCATTAATCACCAATGTAACTTTACAAAACATAGTTGGCTTTTAACACAGCCTCCTGTCTCACCTATACTTCCTATCTATACTATACAAATATCAAATTTAAACTCAACTCCTATATGCTATTCTACGTTTCAATCAAAATTTAAGTTGCTGCACGTTCTAGTTTGATCTGTCGCTCTTACATTGCATATACATGCAACATTTCTAGCTAATTCTTCAGCTTCCCTGCTTTGCTTCTCAAATATCCTGAGGTTTCGCTCATTCCAGATCGTATGTATTGCCTCTACATATACCATTTTGAAAATTGCTGCTCTGCTTGATTTCCCTTTCGCATTTTCTATTGCCCACTTCCAATGCTGGTCCCATGAGGTTGCCCAGAAAGATTGTCTTTGCATCCGTTTTAGCAATCTCTTCCATATACTCCTAGCGAACTCGCATTCAACAAACATATGATTCCTGCTCTCATCACATGATTGGCATAGTACACATTTTGTATCCACCTGCATCCCCCATCAAGCCAATCTATCACTGGTCATCATCTTGTCTTGAAAGTATAGCCACATTGTGAACTTAGCCTTTGCCCTTGCATCATTCCCAAACATAAACACCTTCCATTCCACTCTTGGCAATTGGCCCACCATTTTGTAGTATATTTGTCTAATCATGCTCTTGTTATTCCTTGTCTGAATTTGAATTGCTTCCGCTAAACTTCTTGCTTCCACCACCTTTCTGACTAGCCAAGAAGCTTGCTGTGGTATTGGCATGTCAGAGATTTGTTGCCCTTTTATGTAATAAGCATGTATCCATTTGATCCACATTTTGTCACATTTGTGGGCAAGATCCCAATAGTTCTTTGCTGTTGCTGCTCTGTTCCAAACTTTGAGATTGATTAAGTTTAGTCCACCTGCACTCTTAGGTGTACATATTTTATCCCAAGCCACTAAAGATCTTCTTGTGATGACATTTTCTCCTAACCATACATAGCTCCTAAAATATGTTTCAATTGTCTTCAGTACTTTGCTAGGAATCAGGAATAACTGTGACCAGTAAGCTTGGATGCCAAATAGGACAGATTGAACTAACTGAATTCGGCCAGCATAGGAAAGCTTTTTTGCAGTCCATGATGAGATTCTTGCTACCATTTTCTCTATGAGGGGTTGCCATTGAGCTATGGACATCTTTTTGGTGGACAATAGGACTCCCAAGTACTTGACTGGTAATTCTCCTCTGGAATATCCAAATTTCTGCACTATCTCTTCACTTGCCAAATGTGTTACTCCTCTAAAGAAAATTGAGCTCTTTTCCTGGTTAGCTCTCAAACCTGATGCCCCATAGAAATGGTTGAGGCATTGTTGTAGATGAGTAATTGAAGCCATATCTCCCCTTGCAAAGAGTAGCAGATCATCTACAAAGCTGAGATGAGTTATTCCCATTTGGAACATCTGGGATGATATTTGAAACCCCTTTCCTTTTTCAATCCATTCAGGCATCTACTCAAGTATTCCATAGCAATTGTAAATAGGAAAGGAGACATAGGATCTCCCTGCCTCAACCCCTTAGCAGCTGGGAATGGTTCTGAAGGTTCTCCATTAATAATTACAGAGTAGCTCACAGTTTTGACACAAGCAAGCACCCACTGTTGAACTCTGACAGGGAATCCCAGTTCAACCATCACCTGTTCTAAGAAGATCCATTCTACAGAATCATATGCTTTTGTTAGGTCAATCTTGATCATACACCTAGGAGAGGAGTTCTTCCTTGTGTATACCTTAACAAGTTCATGAGATAGGATTATGTTATCTGATATTTTCCTTCCTGGAATGAATCCTGCTTGAGCTTCACTTATCACACTAGAAATTACTCTTTGCAATCTGTTTGCTAGTATTTTAGAAATGATCTTATATAAGACAGTGCAACATGCAATAGGCCAGAATTCCTTTGCTCTAGTTGGGCTACTCACTTTAGGCACAAGTGTAATTGATGCACAATTTATGGCTTTGTACATCTTGCCAGTAATGAAAAATTCCTGAACTGCTTGCACTATCTCCTGCTTCACTATAGGCCAAGCTTTTCTGAAAAAGCATGAATTGTAGCCATCAACCCCAGGAGCCTTATCCTCATGGATAGAACATAAACCTTTATATACCTCTTCTTCTGTCACTTCAGTAACTAAACTGAGCTGCTGTTCACGAGTGAGTTTGGGACCATTTTGCATTATCTCTTTGTTGATTGCTGGTAAGGACTTAGCAGAAGATCCCATAAGGTTTTTATAAAAGCTGATGAACTCCTCTTTGATGCTAACAGGACCAGATATCTTCCTTCCATCCATAGTTGTAATCTCCAGGATCTGTTTTCTGTGGCTTTTTTCTTTCATAATAGCAGAAAAATACTTAGTGTTGGCATCACCTAGTTTGATCCATTTTACCCTTGACTTTTGCTTCAGAATACTCTCTTCAATTAATGACCATTTCTCTAACTGCTGAAGTGTTTGTTTCTCTTGCTCTAGCAGACTGTCAGTGTATTGGCTTTGTATCTTTTCTTGTACTGTAATGAGGTCACACCTAGCATTCTCAATTCTCTGTGAAATGCCCTTATATTCTTTAGCATTTAGCCTTCTAAACAAAGGCTTAAGAACTTTGAGTTTCTTCCATATATCCTCCATTTTATCCTCTGCCATTCTCTTCTTCTATATGCCCTCCACCAAACTTTCAAAATCCTTGTGATCTGCCCACACATTAAAGAATCTAAAAGGGGATTTGACATTGATCCTTACATATTGAATATTCAGCAGCATAGGTGAGTGATCAGATATCAGTGGAACATCATATTCAGTACACACATCACCCCAGTTTATCATCCACATATCATTACCAAATACCCTATCAATCTTGCTCAGTATCCTGCCTTTTCCATGTTGTTTGTTTGACCAAGTATAGTATTCTCCTTTCCATGGAAGCTGATTCAAAAAGGAGATTATGTATGCAGTCTAAAAAGTCAGCCATTTCACTCATTGTGACTGGATTACCATACATTCTATCCTGTGTGTACAGCATGTCATTAAAGTCTCCACCTATTATCCAAGGCTTTGTCATTTGTATAGAGATATCATTCAAGTTTCTCCATAAAGTCTTCCTCTGTTCTACTGTGTTAAAGCCATATATCAATTAAGACATGTTTCAAATCCATCCAACCTCCCCCTTACTATGCAGTGTATTAACTGAGATTCTACCCTTTCAATATCTATACAGTATACCTTGGGGTCCCAAGTAAGCCATATTCTTCCATTAACTGCACTTTGATAGTTGCACTGTATTGCCCATCCAGGTAATATATTTTTGAACACCCTGTTGGCTCTACTCTCTTTCACTCTAGTTTCCAGATAACCAGCTAGCTTTATGTGTTTATTCTGTAAGTATAATTTTAACTCCTTTTGTTTGTATCTCTTATTTATTCCTCGAACATTCCACACTACCCAGGTCATTGTGCTACGATAGGAGGCCCACTACCTGCTTCAGGCAAGCATTTCTTAGTCTCATTGCCACCTGGATTCCCCATTGTTTTATTCCCTCTCCGCACACTAGTAGCCAAAGTTGGGAATTCCCTGATACAGCTCAACTCAGGGCTTTTTTGAGGAGTTTGCTCCTCCTTGTGATTGCTCCTCATTAGTGATTGATCTTCACAACTTGTTGGAGGGTGTTGTGCTTGTTCAGGGCATTGTTTATCATGTGACTCTGCTATTGGTTGATCTGTTCCTGCTACCATAGTAGGCAGATCCTTCACCTCTACAGGCTTCTTTGCTCTCCACTCCTGCACTTCTTTGTCCACTGGTTGAGAAGCTGCTTGTGGGGCTGTTTGAGCATTAGCAATTGGTCTCCTTCTCCTTCTAGGCTGCTCAATTTGTTGCTGCTCAATCTCAACTTTCTTGCACGAGTGGCCAATTTTCAAGCATTCTTCACAAAATACTGGTTTCCGGTCATAATCTATTGCTTGTTCAAATTGTCTCCCATCAGGTTCCCACATTGTGATACACGATGGGAGTGGCCGAGTGACATTGATCTCAATTAGCATACGAGCATATGAAATCCGCTTCTGCTAGATGTACATTCATCAGCATACAATGGTTTGCCAATTGTACTTGCAATTCTGCTCAATGACTGAGCTCCCCAGCAACTCATAGGGAGGTTTGGCAGTACCACCCACAGGGGAATTTCAGTGAGAAATTCCTTAGTAAAATCAGAATTGACAGTCCATGGTTTCAAAATAAGAGGCTTATTATTCATTGTATATGGCCCGAAGTATAAGATTTCATGCATGCCATTTACAGATTGGAACTTAATTACATAGTATCCTTCTTCATGGTAGAATACCTCTGGCTCTGCGACTTGATTCCAGCTCTACTTTACAAATCTGTGCATATAGTTGTATCCCGGAGTTTCCCCAATTACATACACAATTAAGGTACATCTCCATTTAATTATTTCCTTCTCAACATCCTCTTTTTCTAGTTGTACAAATGTTTTCCCATCAACAATTTGAGGTGGAATGTAAGTTAACTTCAAACCATTTTCAGAGCTGCGATTACCTGTAAATAATGAAGTCCACGCTGTTGTTTTCCCTTTCTCCTCATTTACTGGTGCTAGATCTGATGCCGTCTTGCTTGAACTCGCTAGATCTTCAGGTTTCTCAATCAATTTGTCATTTTGGCCGCTTAGAATTGGACTAATACTCAGATCCAATCTCTTAGCTGGCCCTTGGTCCATCCCTTCACTTGCATGTTGCTTCATCCTAACATCATCCAATGGAACAGGAGATTTAACCATGTCAGCTAATGAAGTTTTCTCTAGTTGTATGAGGGCTTCAACTGGTTTTCCAACACCAGCTAAAGGTTGCAACCTTGGTCTTCCGCGAGCTCGAACCCTTCCCCGAGCCATAACCATGGTGGTCGTACGTCGGACTAACGTGCGCCAGAGGGCATTGGAGCTAGAGAGAGAAAGCGGTTTTTTTTAAAACGGGTACGTGTGGACCCTAATTTTTATATTTTAAAAATTTTGTAATCAAAATGTAACAAATATTGTAATTTTGGTGATATTTTACGTTATAGCTAAGTTCTGTATTAAATTTAATGGATTTAATTGAAGGCATAAGTTGTTAGCTATATCTAGTGTTATCCAATATGTATTGTTGTAATAACCAATAAAATCATTAAACTTTCTGAAATAGAAACATAAACAGAAAGTTAGTAGAACCAGTTTGACTAAATAAATTCTGGAAAACAGTATAGGAATAAATCGAGCCCACTGAATACACAGTGTGTCCTTAAGTAAATTATTCCCCTCAAGTACCCGAGGTGCTGGAATATATCCTCCAAGGATAGAACGATTTAACTCACCAGTGTATTGGTACCAAAAACTCCGGTGAACTTCGAACCACTCAATGGTCGTAAAACACACTATAAAATATTGTGCAGAAGAAGAAAAAGATAATCAGAAAATTTAGTAAGTAAATATTCTGGGATTCAAAGCATATTTATAGACCATTTGGCATTGTTTCTGAAAAGGTTTGCAACCTTTCGGAAACAGTCATAGGTACTGGAACAGGTGGGAAGAAATATTGCGGGAAAACAGAAAACGGATTTAAAATAATCCGGGAAAGAAATGGGTTATTCCGGATTGAATTTTCATTAATTAATTAAATAATTGAAAGGAATTTTGTCCAAAAAGATTAATCAATCAATCTTTGACCAAAGCCGAAGCCGAGCGAGCGAGCGACGACGCGAGGCTTGCCTTCTTCTTAATTCTTTAAGAGCTGAAGAAGAGCAATTGTATATATACCCATCAAAAGTCTTTTCTTCCTCCAATATGGGACAATGTCCCTTTGCCAAGGAGGAAAACTCAAATATTTCATTTTCCCTCCATTTTCCATTCACTCTCTCTAAAGCTATAGCAAGCTTAAAAGCCCAACATTTAGCACCGAGAATAATGTAGATTATTCTCTATTATGTGGTTTTGATGTTGATTTTCTACCATATTGTAGGCAGTACAACACTCCTACGGTAAGAAACCTTGTCGAAGAGGAAGTATTCTCTCACGTTTCCTTTTTCTTTTTCCAAAAAAGAAAACAAAGCAAACCATATATGTGAAGACAACTAACACAAACGTTCTAATAAATTCATTCTCAAAACTAGTCTAAATAAATACCTTTTTTTCTTTCAAAAAGAAGATATTCTCCAATATATTCCTATACTTGATTTTTCAAGTTGAATTAATAGCAAGTCCAAACACTATATTATTGTGATCTATTTACTAAAGGGCAAGTCAATTTGATTATTATCTTATCTTATTATACCTAACTTGACAAAAAAACTCAAAAGGTATAT